AGGTGTCCAAACCATCCCTAGAGTGTCCAAACCATCCCTGGGGGTGTCCAAACCATCCCTGGAGGTGTCCAAACCATCCCTAGAGTGTCCAAACCATCCCTGGGGGTGTCCAAACCATCCCTGTGGTGTTCAAATCATCCCTGGGAGTGTTAAAACGAGTGGATGTGGAGCTTTGTGAGAGAGTTTGGTGGGCTTGGGGGCACAAGATTGGACTTAACCATCTCGGAGAGCTTTTCCAACCTTAAAGCCCATCCAGTCCCACCCCCTGCCATGGGCAGGGACACCTTCCCCTGTCCCAGGTTGCTCCAACCTGGCCTTGGACACTCCCAGGGATGGGCCAGCCACAGTTTCTCTGGGAAATCCATTCCAGCCCCTCCCCACCCTCCCAGGGGGGAATTTCTCCCCACTGTCCCATGTAACCCTGCCCTCTGGCAGTGGGAAGCCATTCCCCCTTGCCCTGTCATTCCATCCCCTCCTGAAAAGCCCAGATTCCTTGGGGATGAGCTGGGGTGTGGGTTTGTGCATTCCCCACCTGTGATAAGGAGCTGTGTGTGCTCTCCCAGCAAAGCTGGATTGCTCCTCCTGTGGCCTTGCAATGACTTACCTGGATAAGTGTATCCCTGTGATTTTCCTGGCCCAGGGCCCTCAGCAGGGAGTGTGTTTAGACAGATTTAACATTTTCTTTGCAGGGTTCATAAGGCACCTCCTGCTTATGGAGCTGGGGCTTGGCTGCTCTAGTGGGAGGTGTCCCTTCCCAGGGCAGGGGGTGGGACTGGATGGGTTTTAAGGTCCTTTCCAACCCCGGCCATTCTGTAATTCCACAGTTTAATCAATCCTGAGGAGCTGAATCTCTTTCACCTTGGGAATCTGGTCATTTCAGAGAGACAGCTCAGGTTCCTAAGATTTCCCCCTCATTTTAGGCTGTCAGCCCTGCTGTTTTAAACCCTGGACTGATCCAGCTGCATCCCCCAGGATCAGCAGCCTTCCTGCAGCCACACCTGTGGTTTCATTTGGGGATTTTCAACGGGAGTTTGTGCTCTGCAGTTTCTTTGAAACCCACACCCAGATTCCTTCGCCTGTTGTTATTTAGAGACTGCAAATCAGGAGAGATATATCTGGTGTATCTTAATTCCCCTCGATTAAAGGATCTGTCTGGGATCCTGTGCGTGCTCACACAGGAACACACACCTCTGGCTAAACTCGTTTTTCCTCCTCAGGTGAATAGAAGGTGAAGAATGAACAAGGGCTTGTGTGTAATTGCTCTGTCTTTCATGTTCAAGCACTCTTAGATATGTAAATAGCAACTTGAGGTCTGAAAGGTTCCAATTAATTAAGGGAGTCACTGGTTGTCCCTTGAGTAGCACGGCACAGCCCTGGGTTTGAACCTGGCTCAACACAGGGGATTTAATATCAAGTGACCTGGTGCTGTGGGCTGGCCTGGTTCCAAGTTTTGCTTTCTCTGGGCAAATTCCTGCTCACATCTGCCTGCCAGAGTCATCCTGGACGTCTTTGGGGTGCTGACACTTCTGGTTTGTGGCAGCCACTGATGGTTAGCTTGGGTTTCTCAGTCAGTGTTAGACCGTGTACAGCCTGGGTGGGTGGGCAGGAGGACACTGCCCTCTTCATTCCTGACTCTTGGCTTCCCTTGGCAGGAGTGGCTCAGGTACAGGCCTTTCCAGCCCCCCTTTGGCAGCACAGACAGTGGTCCCCCTGAGGCACTGTAAGATCCCAGAGCTGCCTGTGGAGAGGAGTGTCCTGTTCGAGCTCCAGCTCTTCTTCTGTCACCTCGTCGCTCTCTTTGTCCACTACATCAACATCTACAAGACAGTGTGGTGGTACCCACCCTCCCACCCTCCCTCCCACACATCACTGGTAAGCACCAGAGGACAGATGATACTCCCAGGATGTCTCTGGGGTCATTAAACATTTCATTTTATATATATTTATATTTAATGTAAACTACATGTGACTCTGCAACTCTTACTTTGCCAAGTTTTGGGCGCTGGCTGCCTGCTTGTCATTCTCTCTCCAATCTTGGAAGAGAGTCCAAAGAGAAGAGGATAACTTGGGAGTTTCTCTGTTGAATGTGGGTTTCTGCTGCCTCATGGGAACGGGATCATTTTGGTTTTGTCTCCACAGAACTTTCACCTTATTGACTTCAACGTGCTGACGGTGACAACCATCGTC